AGGGAAAGAATGTAAAATTATTATATTATTGATGAAAGTGGTGTATATGTTTCACGAATTTTGGATGTTATTTAATTGCGTTTATTAATTTTGATGGAAATAACAGGTAGGATCAGGAAACAACCTAGTTCGAAATCGGAGCTATGGAAGTAAAAGGAACCTAAAGCCAATATGAGATGGCATTACTTGATGAATATGTTTAAGTTGAACTGTGGCAAGAAACAACAACTAAATAATAAGGATGTGAACTTGTACATCATAATGTTTTTCTGTAATGTTTTATAATAGATAATAAGGATGTGAACTTGTACATCATAATGTTTTTCAGCAATGTTTTATAATAGTACTGTTTTAAAAAACTTTAACACCAATATCATTTATAATTTAGGTTAAAATATATTTTTTTTTATTTTTTATTTTTTATTTTTTTAGTTCTTATAGTTTTAAAAAATATTTTTATTCTGTATATGAGGTTGTAATGAGAGATTATGAAGAAAGATTGTATTTTTTTTTCCATTTGCATTAAAAAAATGATAATTGAATAGTGAAAAGTTAGATTCAAAAGTTAAGGATGAGAAAGATACTAGGACTTCACTTTAAAATTTAATAAAAGCTAGAATTATAAAAGTCGATGATGAAGCCTATAGAGGCATTAAGATTAATGCAATAGGAGAAACTATCAACAATAGAGTTGCGAGAGGGAGAGTTGTAAGAAGAGATGAAAATGTAATGGGTGAACTTGTGAAGGGATGAGCTATGAGTAGAGCTGTCAAAACGGGTAACCCGGCCCGGCCCGGCCCGGCCCACCACGGGTTGAGCCTTTGGTGGGCCAACCCAACCCGGCTCGTTTATTGGTGAGTTGGAAAAAATTGAGCCCGGCCCGGCCCACCACGGGTTGGTGGGCTAAACGGGTTGGCTCACCTAATTTGAAAAAATCACCTAATTTAAAAAAATGTAATCAAATTTAATGCCCAATCCTGCAAAAATAGTATGCACATAAGCTTTTCTAGAGAAAAGTAAATAAATTCCTACACTAATTACATAATTTGAAGAAAAAATACATAAAATTGAGAACCTATGATGGTCTATGAAGTTTTATTTGGCCCAACCCAATAGCAGAAGTTTTTTTTTTTTTTTTTTATGGGCTGGTGGGTCAGCCCGGCTCACCACGGGTTGAACCCGGGTGAGCCGGGTTGTTAGTGGGCCGTGTTTAAAATTGGCCCACACTGAAATTTGCAAAATTTTTTTAGCCCAATCCGGCTCGAACCCGTGGTGGGCCGGGTTGGCTCACCGGGCTGAGCCCATTTTGACAGCTCTAGCTATGAGTGATAGAGATTGAGCGTATGTTGTAGCAAAATTGAACTAAAAAGTTTAGATTCAACTAAAGTATAAAAAACGAAGCTCAAGTACCATGAAAGTTTGGTTTTTTCATGTTTTTGTGAGCCCAAATCGTTCCATGGTCAAACAAAGTTAAAAAGAGTCACATTTAATTTAAATTAAAAAATTAATCCCTAAAATCTTAAATCTTAAGCCCTAAAAAGTAAAGTTATAACTTTAGTTTGTAATCAAAATTCAAAAGCTTAACCCTTACATTTCATTTATACAAATTTATATCATGTTAATTGAGAGTTCGATGTTGGTTACAGGTTATAACAGATTTGGTCAAATACAAAAAATAATTTGAGTTTAAAAATGACGACGAAGTTTGATTGGACTCTAATTTTTGTGGGCCAAGGTCAACCCTAATCAACATGGAAACAATTTAAATGGACTCAAAATTATCCAAAAGGAAAATTTAAAGCTCAAATCTTACATTTCATTAAGTAGTTCAAGTTGGGTCTAAAATAAAATTGCAGACTATAAATAATTTAGCTGAAAGACTCAAATCCAATTAAAGCTTTTAAAACAAGATTTAAGTCCAATAAAGATCTAATATGTATAATTTTTTTTTTTGCAAGCAAAGTCCAAATGATACATGATTAGATCAAAATAAAAAGACTCGTATTCAATCTATGCCAAAAAAATGAAAACCTTACATTTTATTGGATAAATTTAGGTTATGTTGACCTAGTCATCTCTAACAAAACTTGGATGAAAGGTTAAGATAACTGAATAATGAGTAGTCAAGATTGGATGCGAGGTGAGAAATAGTTAAGGAAAACATTAAAAGACACTTGACAACTTGTAAAATCTTATATAACTAGATGTATTTTTTTTAATTTCTTAAAGCAAGTTAAAATAATTTAAAAATTCATTTAAGTATTATTTTAATCCACTTTTTCATTTCAACATAATTTTTTCTTATATATATTTTTAGGGAATCCAAAATATCCTTTACCCAAGAGCCAAATACTCACAAGACATTGAATTCATTCAAGGAGTTGATATCTTCTAATTAATATTTTTTTACATACAAATATTTAAATATTAAACTTCTCACTACATGTTTAATAGATAATATTATGGACTAACAATGTTAACCATGCTTAGTTGACAAATATCATTGTTCCTCAAGTATCCAGTGAAATGTTTGATTTCTTATTTGTATGTATGAAAAATTATTTATTTGAGAGATGTTAGTCTCTTATACAAGTTTCAATATTTAACTATCAATTATAAAATAATCCAGCTTAAAAAAAGTCACAAAATGTTGATATTTTATATTTAAATTTAGGTTTAAAATAAAAAATTTAAAACTTAAAAGGAATCAAAATTGCACATAATCCAAAGCTATCATTAAACCTTTAATATTATTTACCGATAAAAAAGCCTTTAATATTATTTGTATACTCTTTACCTTATTTAAATACTTAAACATATTAACTTTCATAGAAGTGTTGATCCATTAAATTGTTAAAAGTATATTTGTAACGGTATTTATTAGAATCATCTTAAAGAAAGGGTATTTAATAAAAACATATAATTATACCAGCTCTTAGTGGGTAAGAATGGAGTGCAGTACTTGAGATGTAATTTCCTTCTCTTATTTACTCACACTTATAATTTATTTATTTACTATTCACCATTTAAAAAAATACAAATGACAAGTTCGTTATTTTGTTAGTTGAATTTCCAAAATGGTAAATGGAAATCTAACGTGAAACATTATATGACCGAAACAGGTGTACAAAAGTATACTCATTATCCAAAACAGGAACCTAAAAAACAGAATTGTTTGTTTTTTGAAGGAGTAAAAGTAAAAATATAGTACTATAAAATAATTCAACAACTATTCCATACACAAGTAACAACCAACCAAGTCCAAACATGAGATGAGACTTGAAAATACAGCAAATTGAGTGTTTATGATATTAACTAATCATTCAAATAAAAATAATCCCTCAACCGGAAAAGTACCTAACAACAACATCACGTTCACAGCTTCTACCGATTGAAAAGCTCCACCAACAATAATAACCTCTGATTTCTTCTTCCACTTTCTCTGTGTGAGATTGAAGAAGAAGAAGAAGAAGATGGGGATTGCAGTGGCGAGTGTTGATTTGCTGAGTGAAAAGGCAGCGTTGATGAGAGAGTCTCTGCAGAAGAGCCAAACCATCGCAGACAACGTCGTCACCATTCTGGGTTCCTTCGACCACCGTCTCTCCGCCCTAGAAACCGCCATGCGTCCCACTCAGGTGCCCTTCGCTTCTCCGGGGGCAGGTTTTGCTTGGGTTGGTTTAAAAATGGGATTTTTGGAAATGGGGTTTTGTTGGTTTGACTTGTCTTTGACTTGGGTGCAATGGGGTTTTGCTTTGGGTCATTGGGTGGGTCCTTCGTTTTTCAAGTGGGGATCTGGAGGGTGGTTAAATGTTGGATCTTTTCATCTGGGTTTGCAGATTAGAACTCACTCCATAAGGAAGGCTCATGAGAATATTGATAGGACTCTGAAGGCTGCGGAGGTTATATTGGCTCACTTTGATCAATATCGTCAGGTTGAAAAGATCTGTTTTTTTCTTCTTCTTCATAATGTACCCTTTTTTTTTATTTTATATATATATATATATTATATGAATTATATTGCTCTTTGTCGAATTGATAAATTGGAATTACAAGTTCAATTTTGTGTCGTCGTGAATGTGTTGTTAAATTCAAATTTTGTTGAATTGGTTGCAATGCTGCTTAATTTCATTTTACTTTGTTTATATAATCTAGCTGAAGGCATGTCTGTTTGTTGCTTTGCTTTGATAAATTGCAAATCTGAAGGCCTGACCCTTGTCTCGTTTGGTCAACTTATCTGATTTTTGCATTATGGTGTTATTGCAAATGTTGTTTTTACATTACTATGATCTATCTTCCTACTCCAGTAGTGTGTCAAGTCAAAAGCAAAACCTGTATACCAATAACTTGTAGTTAAAGACAACAAACCTATTTCTTCTCCAAGCTATCTGGACAAATCCATATTTCCTGAGAAACATGAAAAGCTTGTTGCATTTTTTTCATGCTATGCTACAATGTAAAACAGATGCTATCAGTTGGTTATGATGCAGTGTCGAAAAACCAGCAATAGATTTCCCCAACTTCATCGTAATGTTTGCGTGAGCTTCAACTTATGATTTTTGTAGGGCGGCTTTATGCAGTGGGTTTGGAACACTCTTATCAATTGAAATGTTTCATCTTTTCATTCTGGAATAATCTGGATGTTCTTGGATACTGGCCAAGTTGCATAAGGGGATGGGGTGGCTGTTCTCAAATATACAAGGGCACTAACCTAAAATTTCTGATTGAAGAAATTCCAAAACAAGATGAAAGAGGAGATATGTTGAAGTTGAACTAGAAGATCACATACAATTCTCGAGGAAATGACCAAGAAAATGCCTTGAACAACTACAAAATTGTTACGTGTCTCAAGCAACAAAAGTTGAAAATTAAATTGGATCTTACGAAGTTAGAAATACAAAACAAGATGCACTCTTCATCATTTTGAATCCGCCAAAGGGATAAAAAGTGCTGGGATAATGTTCAACACTCTATGAAATCCTCCTAACGGATACAAAACTTAGTGAAGAAAGCACAAAAGGTTTTTAAATTCCTCGTTGATAACTCCGTCTCTTTTCTTTTACATGAGAAACCTATATATAGAAGCCTGGAACACCCCTCCAAGCATAGGAAAATGGCAAATTAAAGGCATATTTTATTCATAGCAACCTGATACAAGTTTTTGTTTGAATTCAATCGTAAGTTATGGGACTCCAGTCCCACATTGGAAGTATGGGCTCATGGTGTGGGATTTATTTAAGGTCTTTGGCATTTCCAACTACAACAACTATCTTTTGTGGTGTGGTTCTCCCAAGGTTCTTATCAATTTCATGGGTCACCAACCAAGTATTTGTTACAAGTATCAGATGAGAAGTGGAGAAAAAGAAGAGAAATGAACACAGAATTTGATGTGGTTCGGCTGGCAATAAATCACAGGCACTTAGGTCCATGGGTGAAACTGAATGAAAATTTGCTACTTGCAATGAAGATTATGAAGAGTAGCCACTTAATACTCACTGTGAAAGATATTTTATGTCTTCACTTTCTTATTTAGTTTATTCTCTTTTTTTATTTTGTTCTTGTTTTTAAGCAGAACAATGGTACTTTAGCGAGATTGGTACAAAAAAAATTCATATCCTTGTACTTTAAAAAAATTTAATTACAAGATGACAACTTATGGACTTTTCTTCTTTTTCTTTTAATAAGATATGTGGTACATATATGTCATTTACATCATTTTATATTCTCATTGATCTATTATACAGGCAGAGGCAAAAATACTTAAAGGGCCACATGAAGACCTGGAAAACTATCTTGAAGCAATTGATAAGTTGAGAAGCAATATTCAGTTTTTTGGCAGCAAGAAGGGTTTTAAGAGCAGTGACGGTATTGTCATCCACGCTAATAATTTGCTAGCTAAGGCTATTTCGAAGCTAGAAGATGAGTTTAAGCAGTTATTATCATCTTACAGGTATGTATTTTTGTACTTATTTTTGTTCATCTTTTGGAATGTTTGATGAAAATTTTATTAGCTTGCATAAAAATAACCATTGATGGTTGTGTCAATCTTTCAAGAAAATGATATATTCTTTAATGCTAAACCTAAACAGCTTCATGTGTAATATTTGAATGTGTGATTCTTTTTTTCCCCCACATTGTGAAAATTTAATTTGTTGCTATGACATTTTCTTTTATAATGTGTGATTACAGCAAACCTGTGGAACCTGAGCGCCTCTTTGATTGCCTTCCAAATTCAATGCGACCTTCATCAGGATCACCTGGCCATGAGGGTGACCCTAGTGGCAAGAATCCTAATCACCATTCTGAGCATCACAACAATAATGGTGATGCTGTTGTATACACACCTCCCGCTCTTATACCACCAAGATTTTTGCCACTGCTACATGATTTAGCACAGCAAATGGTTGAAGCTGGTCACCAGCAGCAGCTACTCAAAATATACAGGTAATTCTCTTTGTTTAGTTGACTGTTAAGTTGCATAGGGAAAAGTTGAAATTGTCTTGTTGTAAAAATCTTCATTTGAAAAATTGTAAAAGTACTGAGCATGAAAATTAAAATTTTACAATTTAGAATTTTACCACATTGAAGGTTGTTAAATTATAAGTATAGGAAGGAAACTATTAAGAAATCAAATGTCTTATGAATTAAGGTTAAGGAAGTGTCCATTGGGGATTGATTCTGAGTGATTAATTTATATAGGCCTGTTAGAGATATAAAATAGTTCATAGAATCATAGGCCTAAAAGCTTTACTTTTTGGGAGTTGGTTTTATAGGATGTTAAATTGAGGAGTCATTGATTTGAGCTATACAGTTGAGTACTCTATCCTCTAATATAAATATTGATGTAGTGCGGGCCAGACACAATATATGTTTTAACTAGAAACGGTTTATTTTTTTTTCCATTCTCCCTCTATAGCTCTGTCAATCCTTATTTAGCAGGCTAGAAGTTATGGTCACGTGATTGGTAAGAAAACCATTCCTAGGTCGTGAACAGGGTTTTGCATTGATACCTCTAACATGTTCTAATAACCCAGTTTAATTCATGCTGAGAGCATGTGGGGCTTGAAAATAAATTGGACTGCATTAGGGAAACATAATTCTGTAGGCTTTGTGGTGGTGGCTTAATATACAGCATGGTTTTGACACCCCTAGGTATAGTGCATAAAAATGTACTTATGATACCCATTTCCAACAATGATTAACATTACTACTGCACTTTTATTATAATTATGTAGAGATGCCCGTTCAAATGTATTGGAAGAGAGCCTCCAAAAGCTTGGAGTTGAGAAACTCAACAAAGATGATGTTCAAAAGCTGCAATGGGAGATTTTGGAAGCCAAAATTGGAAACTGGATTCATTTCATGCGTATAGCAGTAAGATGATTGTAGGATTGATGCTGTGTTTTTCTCGTCATTATGTTTTTAATTTCTTACAAATATGTAATTATACATGAACAGGTGAAATTGTTGTTTGCTGGTGAGAGAAAAGTTTGTGATCAGATATTTGAAGGCTTTGATTCACTTAGTGAACAGTGTTTTGCCGAGGTGACTACAAACAGTGTCTCAATGCTACTCAGTTTTGGAGAAGCAATTGCCAAAAGCAAGAGATCTCCAGAAAAGTTATTTGTACTATTGGACATGTATGAAATAATGCAAGAGCTTCACTCAGAGGTATGGCTTTTGAAATGCGAAATCACAAATCTTGATGCTATCTCTTTTGTGTATTGGTTTCATAAATCTTATGAGGTCAATTTGTAGAGTTTTATTTTATGTTCAGTGGTCACAGATTTTCTTATTTATCATAATAGTGTTAGTGTTATACATGTCAGTGACTTTTCACCTGCATTACTAATATATTTGTAGTTTCCTTTTCAGTTGTCTATGAGACTGGTAGTAGTACCTCTAATTTAATTATTATTCTTTTAAGAAAGAATGCTCTATCATAAAATCATCAAATCTGTCATGATCACCGAACTCCAATACTTTGGCCTTGCACTCTGGCTTATGTTTTAACATTTTTATGGCTGTCTTCGGTAAATTGTGACTACCATGAAAGGGAACTACACTTCTGATTTTTCATGTATAGGAACATTTTTTCTAAAAAATCTTATGTAAAAGTTTGGAACTATACTATTGCCACTTTTGAATTGTTTATAACATTCATGAGAAAAACTATTTAGTAAACATTAAAAAGTCTCTGATGTGATAGGTGCTTCATCTCATTTAATGAGGCCAATTTATGTCAATTAAAAGATTATAATTCTATCATTAGTGAGGGCCTGTGTTAGTGTCATCTGCTATAGTTTTTACTTTCAACTTCTTACTGATAGAGGTTTACACTTTACACTAGTCACCACACTAGATGTGATATATTTGACTATCATGATACATAACAGGTTTGGGTAGTTTTTGTTTTGTTCATAAAACAAGAACAAGGCATATATTGTAGTGGTGTTATAATCTTGCAATCAACTATTTCTCGACATTTTGCAGATTGAAACTCTTTTTAAAGGCAAAGCTTGCTCTGGAATAAAAGAAGCTGCTACTAGTTTGACAAAACGACTTGCACAAACAGCCCAGGAGACCTTTGGAGATTTTGAAGAGGCAGTCGAGAAAGATGCTACAAAGACTGCAGTAACAGATGGAACTGTCCATCCTTTGACGAGCTATGTGATTAACTATGTGAAGTTTTTATTTGAGTAAGTTCAGTGTTGTCCGATCCCAATTTCGCAGCCATATCATCAAATTCTAACAGTTTTGCCGTGTTCATTGATGAGATAAAAAATACGTTTGTCATTATTTATCATCATTCCGTACATTGTTAAGTTTCTTAAAATTTATTTTATAGTTCTGTGTTATTCTGCTCATGGACATTTTAGTGCATTTCTTTGTTAGATATGCTGAGCGATTGGCATGCCATGTAACATGTTTGATCACTTAGTTTCTAGGTGTTTCTTTTGTAGTTTTATTGAGAGGATATCTTATTGATAGAACTGGTTCAGAATCTGAAGGAAAGAATGAATTTTTTTATTGATGAGCCCGAAATACCAATTGCTGTGCCATTGTGGTAGCAGCCTTACAATAGGGTAGAAAATAATGAGTGATTAGATCTGTTTTGAGCTAATCGAAGATTTCCAACTATTTGAACTGAGTTTTATTTTTGTTATTATAAATTGATGATGTCTATGAGGGAATTGTGCAATCCCATGCTTCTATTTTATATTTTTTATATTTAAGAGAAACTATTTCTTAAAGTTTAGTTTTCACTCCCTTTGGAAGAAGGATATTGCTTAAGCTTGTGTACTCTTCAATATGTGTGTGGGTAATTTTTTTCAGGATCTTTATTATAGATCTGATCTTCACATATTTGACCTGATCAGAATTCTTTAAACTTTGCAGCTACCAATCCACCTTGAAGCAACTTTTTCAGGAATTTGAAAGTGGTGATGATTCTTCACAGCTAGCATCTGTAACAGTGCGGATAATGCAAGCTTTGCAAACCAATTTAGATGGAAAATCAAAGCAGTATAAAGACCCTGCATTGACACATCTTTTTCTCATGAACAATATTCATTATATTGTCAGATCAGTTCGGAGGTATATCTTTGACATTTTTTGGTTATGAATTTCTTTAAATCATATGATTTTATTGCATGTTTTGGTGGTTCAAAGTCTTTTTTCCTCTTAACCCTCTTCTATTTCTAGGTCTGAAGCCAAGGATTTGCTAGGGGATGATTGGGTACAACGACATAGGAGGATTGTTCAACAGCATGCAAATCAATACAAAAGAAATGCTTGGGCAAAGGTCTTGTTCTAGTGACCTTATTGACCGTTACATGTCTCGCAGCTTTCTTATATGTCACTTGGATAAGGGTAAAATATGTTTAGTCCCTCTAAAATTATCGAAATTCGCGTTTAGTCTCTTTAATTTTTTTTATCTTATTTCAGTCTCACAAATTTGAAAATGCATCATTTTTAGTCTTCCAAGTACTTTCGATAGCACTTAAAAATAGTTTTAAGACGCTATTTAAACCACTTGGAAGATAAAAAATACTGCATTTCCAAATTTGAGGGACTAAAATAAGATAAAATTTTAGAAGGACTAAAACTAATTTAGAAATATTTTAGAGGGAACGAAAACATATTTTACCCTTTTGTTTTTGGTAATAAAGGTGTTCAAGTAGATTCATTTAATTTTTCCTGATGTTTGGTTCATGTGAATGCTCTATTTCTTCTTAACATTAATATTTGTTTAAGTTGTCAATTTTTTAATTTTGATTCTTTTCTCGGCAGATTCTTCAGTGCCTATCTATTCAGGGGCTTACCTCATCAGGTGGTGGGAGTGGTACTGGTGGCGATGGCGGAGCCGGAAGCAGTAGTGGTGCTTCAAGAGCAATTGTTAAAGACAGGTAGCCTTTCAGTTGCTTCTTTATGAGTAATTTCTTTACTTGTTTTGACACGTCTACATGTATTGCATTATCAGGTTTAAGAATTTCAATGTTATGTTTGAGGAACTCCATCAGAAACAATCTCAGTGGACAGTTCCTGACACCGAGTTGCGAGAGTCTCTTAGGCTTGCAGTTGCTGAAGTCTTGTTGCCAGCCTATAGATCATTTGTCAAACGTTTTGGGTGCGTTCTCATTTTAATTTATGTCATTCCTGTTTATTATGTAGGGGATTGGTATCCATGAATGTGAAATGATGTCTTTTTCTCCTTTGAAACAAAAATACATTTGCTTATGTTTGTCTTTGATGCCTTGTGGTTTTTGTATGAGCTATTGGTATTTTGCAATTAGTGCATATAATTGGGAACCTGCTGTCACAGGCCCCTAGTGGAGAGTGGAAAGAATCCTCAAAAGTACATCAAATACACACCAGAAGATCTAGACCGAATGTTGGGTGAATTTTTTGAAGGAAAAAACATGAGTGAAACAAAGCGATAAAATAATTGCTGATAACTTAAGGTAGGTCTATTTTGAATTCAGCATGATGGTATTTGGTGGTTATTGGTTAAAGCCTTTATTGTGGATTGGTTTCTTTTCTCACTCTCACTTGTAATTCACCAGGTTGTATTTGGTAGCCGAAAAGGAACTATCGATTGTTTTTTGTGTGATGAGATGGTGAATGATTCTGTATAGTTGCCTTGATTTGCTGTTTGAGGTGTTAAGGGTGTGTTTGGAAATTCATTTTATTTGTGTTGAAGGGAAGTTTTGCATTTTTTGAATGTATAAAGGTTGAAGCTATGGCAGTGTTGGATTGACGATTGACGTTGAATGTGGGTTAAATTAAATGGAACTACAAGGCAAATGTATCTCTGCCACGTGTACAAGTTTGTGATTATATGAATGAAATGTTAGCAGTCATGAGGGGAATTTCATGTAACAAGGAATTGGTGTACTATTCTTGCATCGAAATTCAAACAGGAAGCCGCAGCCAAATAAGAATGTAAACTCTTCAAAGTGTTTTGTTGAAGAAACTGGCCAAAGTTTTGCCGGGTCTTGAAAGTGTTTTGTTACTATGAAACTTTGACCCGAGTATCACCATGACATAATATTTATTTTTGTGTATAAATCATATATTTTATGAAATTTTCTATACTTGATCTAATTAATAAAAATATCAAATACAAAGATTGAATTAGTTAAGGCACTATTACAATTACTCTACTATTATCATCTCTTATTCTTATTATAAGGTACAATTAGAAAGAATAGGTAATTATTTTTATAAGATCTTTTACAATTTTTATGAAACATTAATTTTATTTTTAATTTTGTGTCCTTATTAAATATTGTGAGAGTATGTGTTTTTCACTTTCACCTTGAAGAATTTCCAATTTTCATTTATCATTTTTATTGGTATTGGTGCATAAACTTTTAAATGAAGTAATATATTCATCTCTCATAGAAATTTGATAATAAATAAGAAACGTAAAATTGGAAGATGATAATTTTGGTTTATAAATATAATAAAATTAACTAAATACAACTACTTATATTATTTCATGTAATTCAATTAAACATGCTTTATAATAATTACCGAAAGGAATATTTATTGGCATACTTTTTTTTATCATTCTCTTTTTATTATTATTTTTATTTCTTAACAACGAGGTAAGAAGTAGGGATGGCAAAACGGGTCCGTCTGGCCTGTTTTGGCCTAGCCTGCCAATGTAAAACGAGCTGGGATGCTGGCCCGCCCCGCCTAAGAACGGGCTGGCGAGTTGACAGGCCAGTCCGCATACAAAAAATAATAATAATAAAAAATGAAAAAAAAATATATTTTATGTTCAAATAAAAAAAATTGCTACAAATAAATAATATAACCATATGAAATTAAAAATGCATACATATTGTACATAATATATGTTCAACAAAAGCAAATTACAAACTTAAAACAAATTCAAATAAAAATTAGTCCACTTACACCAAAATCAAAACCAAATTATAAACTTACAAATTACTTATAAACTAAATTTTTTGATAGTCCACAAAACAAGTTCAAATACAATTAATTAACTTAAAATTTTTATTTTAAGAATATTAGAAGCTTTCTTGAAAGAAGTTGTCTCTACTTTTTTTCTTGATCATCTTTATCCTCATCTTCTACATCAAAATAATTAAATTAAAAAAAATATATGTGGGCCGGCAGGTTGTGGCGGGCCAGCTCGCTATTTGGGCTGGCGGGTTGGCGGGTTAAAATGATGGGCCTGACTTGCCAATTTTTGGCGGGCAACGGGCCGGCCCGCGGGCCACGGCCCACTTTGCCATCCCTAGTAAGAAGCATAACTTTTTCACTTGTAATAATAATAATAAATCGACATACTTTATATCTTAATATATATTTTATTTAAATTAAATTGAGATGGTTATAATTTTGTGCATATATTATTATTAATAGTTTAATAAGAATAATAATTTGGAGAGGGAAGCATGGCCACGTTGAAGGCTAAAGCACCGCGAATGGTATACACCACACAACACTTCGTCAACAATTGTGTTTTGGTTCCGAGAAAATTTGCAATGGCTACTCACTCTGCTGGTAATCTCATAACTCTGCAAAATGCATTCCTATTGTTACTCCGTTCGATTCATTTCATCGTATTCTTCTGTTCGATTTGAATTTTGAAGCCACGGAAAGGACTTACAAAGAAACATTCGATCGTTCTACAAACAAGCGCTACGCAGATAGCCTAATTCCTCACATTCTGCATCTGTAATTTCTCTCTCACTAACTATCCACGTTTTCATCATATTTTGCTTTTTTAATTCCCAAGATATATATGAAACTATTTGGCTAACACAAGTATAGTATTGTATTGGATTGTATTATGTATATATCTGGTATGTTGATTTCAGGTATGGAGCGTGTGCAACGTCTCGCGACTTTGATATCTATGCCGCAGATGCTACCTTTGAGGATCCACTTATGTGTGCACGCGGGTATATATGCTTGCTTGCATTTTTTTTTCTTCATAAAATACACACTAAACATGTCATTTTAATTCATACACGCGTTTTGCAGGGTGAAACAGATCAAATCAGCGTTCTATTCCATTTCCAAGGTTTTTCATTACTCCATTTGTTTCTCGTGCTTTGGATTTTGCACTGTCTTCCTCAATGAATGATAGCGTCATAGTCTTGACATGTAACAAAACTTTGGTGATTGATTGATGCATTAAATCAGAAAGTTGGGATTTATCTCATGAATATTTGTCAAAAGATATACAAACTTCTGTTCAAGATATCACAGATTCTATATAGTTGATTGCAATGAATATGTGGGCAACGAATTAGAGTTTTTATTTTTATTTTTTATTAACTCGGTATAATTGGAGGAGCATTTTATATAAATTGTTGCATAATGGAATATACTTAATATTTCCTTCTTTTGCAAGGTTGTTGCGTCCCTGTTATCCCCTTTTTCAGTTACTATAATGCCACTGAAATTTGAAGTAACACTGTAACAGTGATAAACCTTAAGCTTGTATCATGTTAGTGGATCATCAAGCATGTGATAGTCGTAATTTAACAATAAGAAATGTTTTCTTTATTTTGGGAAATGATACTCGTGCAAAAATTTGTACATCATTATTTGTGTATTTTTCTCTATTACATCATTTATTAATAATGGTAAAAGATAAACACAAAAAAGTGATGTTTTACTAATTAGTGTATAAATTGTTACACGTATATCATTACTCTTTTATTTTCTTAAGAATGGAAGAATTTTTTAATACTGGAAGCAGATTTCTTATTCCTATAATGACTTATTTAATATTAGATACAATTATCTTGTTTGAGGAGGTCTCGTTCTTCTCTTTTTCTTCTTAATGTTGAGCTAATTTCCAATTTCTATTTGTCTCTATATACCTTAGGTATTTAAGGAGTCAAAGATTGTGGAATACAGTATCAAAGAACATATGGTTGCACCAGGAAAAGGAGAGGTGAGTAAATCTGGTGTCGCTTAATTTAGTATGTAGCACCTCAATCTTTTGTTCTCTGCTAAAAATTTCAAGTGCTTGCTTGATCTCTTACTGGAAGATCCGAATTGATGGATGTTGCATACAGATATTAATTGACAATAGGCAATACTATAAATTCTTGGGGAAGGATATAGATATGGTATCGCTAATCAAGTTGTATATTGAGGATGGTAAAGTTGTTCGCCATGAGGACTGGTATGTATAGATCTCCTGAACACTTTTTTTTTTGTTTTCTGCTTTCCTTAAAAAATTACTTAATTTGACATTTTATGATTATTTTATACTCCTTACTTTTAATAGTACTTAAAAAATGTATTTGCAATTCATCATTTATTGTCTTAGCGCCATATTTTTTCCACTAAAGAGAACACATATGGAGTGACTGTTGAATTGAACATTGTTTTATACACAACCTTGGACATCTATTTACTTAGTCATAACAAAGCATTCATACCACTATGTGCTGGTATATATACCTGCATAGAGTGAGCATGTTTTTCATATAAATACCCCTATGTGCTCGCATGTATACTTGCATAGAACGAGCATGTTTTTCATATAAACTGTTGACTGATGGTTTCAAGTAACTCTAGAAATAATTATGATTTATTGTTACAAACCGTATAAACCATGTTTGGCCTTAATATGTAAACTTTTGTCAGGTAATCCATAAATATTTTCTAAAATTGTCGGATTTTTTCATATTTTACCTAATTTATAAATACCGGTGTAATACAGGAAAAAACCCTACAATTAAACTTTTAAAACCATCTTTGACAATGGAAATTCAATGTTTAGGCACTAAAGCCAGAGTTTAACAAAGGTGGCTGGGACCCTAATATCAAATTAGTCAACTCAATTTAACCCGCCCTTAACTTGTTAAAAATGAATTGGGTACGGTTGGATTCATTTTGAGATTGAAACAAAAATTTCAATTGAATCCAGTGGTGGGTTTAGAATTGGGTTACGGTGACTCACCAAATTAAAAAATATATATATATATATATATAAAAAATTGGATGACTCAAAAGTACAAATAATCTAAACATAATGTCACAAAAATATTATCTAACTAAATTATCTTATCACATTTTTTATAGAAATTATTATCACGAGTTAAATAAATATAGAGAAGAATAACAAAATAACATGAAATTCATAATAGTAAAGCTTCATAAAACATTATGGCCTACAAAATAATAATTAACTAAACAATCTATAAAAAAATTTAGTAAAAGAAAAAAAATTCAATAAGTCAACTGAACCTGTCTATTGACCCGTCACGTTCGCAAGTTTTGCGGGTTAAATCATTCAATTGAATTTAACCCAATCCATTTTGACAGGTTAAGTAGGTTGAACTGTCAAGTTCAACTACATTCCTAGGGCTTTGCATGTTTTTCAGGAGAGCAAGACCTTTGTGTACCCAACTTGGCTTATTTTAACTCACTTAGTTCCTGTAACTTTTGTACTAAGATATTTTTTGTTTCTAGTTAGATGAATTCTATTTAGATTTACTTTTGGCCGTGGAAATTTTGTTTGAGTTGGTAAACAATCTTTTGCATCAATTATTGTGTTGGGATGTCATCGCAGCTTCTAATTTATTGTAATTCACTAATTATGTAAATGATTTCAATAAACTATAAATTATATATTATTTTGGAACCTAGCTAGAAACTAAGTCAATATATTATTTTTGCTGTGAACTATGAAAAATAACTCCTTATGGCTCATGTAAATATTTCGTCTATAAATATTTCTTCAATTCTCTGAACAAACAATGTAAGCCATAATAATTCTTCCTATGTGACTAAATTTATGTTTATGCCCTATAGGTGGGACAAGAAACCACTTTCGAATAGAGAAACAGCGAAGATGCCATTTCTTGGTCGAATAGCAGAAATGACTCGCAGGGGATCAATGATGGCAACACATCTGTTTATGAGGTTTGGGAAGGACCCAAATGTGTGAGCAACCAAAATCCATGCAAAATATTATAAGCTTTGCTACATGGGATGGACCTGTATATGGGACTCGATGTTATTACCTGACGTTGTTGTCAAGCATATATGTATTATAATGTTTATCCCTTCTTGTGGCTTTGATGAATACTAGTATGTTGTATGTTATATGGAACATAATTTGTCGAACTGGTGGCTCCAACCCACGAAAAAGATCTATTTACTTTCCTATTTGTTTTTATAATTCGAATCATAGTAAAGTTTCTGTAAACTTTAGGTGTCCAAAAAAAAATCGAACTCTTTCTAGGAATACTTAGTTTGGTGCTTCACCATTTGAAATCACCTTGGGGGAAATTGTGAATGTCGAAAATAAGTTAAAATAAGGACGGGAGTGGACATGGATTGGGGAAATATTGTTTTAATCATGATATTGGTGTAAGTTTCTAATTAATCATTAAATCGATTGAATATTCATTTATCTCATAAAATAGTACTTTAGATGTAGAATATAAAGGGATTCAATGAAGTATGTTTACATATTATAGTTCTGGTGACGTATATACTTGATACTTTTAGTTGCACATTTTCTTGAACTTTATTATATTTACTTGCAAGGACTGAATTGTGTAAATGTTATGTTGCTTGATACATTCAGCATGATGAGAAATAGAAAATAATATGAAGAAAGATGAATGAAACTGGAATTCTTGTTACCTAGCTCTGTTTTCCCACAGCACCTACTTTGTGTTGTTTTTTTATCTGTACTTAGAAGCCCAAAATAAGGAAGGGCCTAAAAAAAACATTGTAAGTAGTGTTTTCATATCATGGTCAACTTTTTTCTAGCCATTCTTGTTAACTTCAATGGCAACTTCCCTTTTTGACTGGTCATCTGTGATGTCTTAGCCTTTAGAACAGAGGTAATGATCTTATGGATCCATCTTTGTTTGTCCCCAGCCAGCTAGTTGAAGGATCCAAGGTGAGTGGTATGAGAGAGATGTCCACAATTATACACTGATTATTGGGAGTTCAAGATCCGAGAAATCCCTTACTTTCATGCAAAAATTCACTTGTAGTAATAGAAAGAAGAGAGAACTGAAAAGAGGGTGGCCTTCTACGCGCATAAAGGGAACACAGCCATTCAAACTTTATTGTGTTTCTCTCTTTCCTAAAGACTGCAAAAGCTCAAGGTGTGGAAACTTTGTCTCCATGCCAATCTCATATGCCACTATCCCCCTTGCCTCTAAAGTTTGGGGTCTCATGGGTCGTTTTGGGTGACAAAGAACTGCAATATTCAAAGCAAAGGGAGAAAAGTTGCACTGCCTTTGAAAAGTATCAACATTTTGAATGCTTTAGAGCACTAATGACCCCTAAAAAGAATACAATTAGTGGGGTCATGCTTTTTAAATTCTCTTTATCTTTACTTTTCTTCCTTTGTAATGATTTATAGATCATATTTCTAAGATTTAAAGACCACTGCTGCAATATCTTGGTATCTAAAGAACCTTTTGGCCGTTGGGATGCGTTGTACAATGATCATAGGTTCCAATTTTATGACGATAAAATAAACAAAATTAAATCAAAATGATATTATTATTGTACGAAAGAGTTCAAATAATTGACCGTTCTGGATAAAAATTAACAGCCGTACAACTTAAAATCTATCGTGATCCATATGATATATCCGTGAATTTTATGTTGGTGGTCAAAGACTTAACACAACTCTCATATTATATATCCGTGAATTTTATGTTGACCGTCAAAGGCACACACAACTCTCGTCTTTTATCCTGATTTGGGATAAATTATGAGATCAAATACAAGTTCACTATCTCTCTCAAAAAAAAAAACAAAAAAAAACAAGTTAAGGGTTGCTTGTTTGTTTTCAAGTTCTACCCTGGTTTGGTAGATGAAAAAATTGAATTTTAAATTGAAGAGAAAGTAGAAGGAAAATATATTTTAAATTTTTGTCACTGAAAGTCAACTTTCATCTCTATTTTCTTTTCACTTTCTCTTCAATCAAACAAAGCAAATATATCAAATTGATTTTTTTATTGTAATTATAAACAAAGATTAATAATTATGCATTACTAATGTGTCAATCGATTAGAAGTTAGCTGTTGATATGATTTTCAAAGTAACTATAGCAAATTTAACATTATCATACACGATAATTCTTAATTAAATGATAGGGTAAGATAGGTTTATACTTCAATGATCTATAAAAAATGATTTTTTTTCTCCCTCATTTTGTCCCAACTTCATAAATAATAAATCATAAGAGTATGTTGTACAACCTATACATGATTTGATCAGCGGCCACAACATTCCTTGTACTAGCCAATTATTAACCCTTTACTAATTAATTATAAGCACAACCAAGTGTTATGCATTATAATAATTCATCGATTGTATCACGTTGTTCATGATTTATATAATATTTTATGAAATAGCAGCAGCAGAAGCAGACTATAATATTGGACTGTTTCTTCATAAAACAATATTTGATACATATTTTGAATTTTCTCTGCTTGATCCTATAAAGATTTAGTCTAGAAAAGCCCTTTTTCCTGTCGGGTTGTGTTATGATTCATGGGGATTCATACAATCCTCTGTCCCTCTTCAGCAAAGCAACCTATGAGATGGGATTACTATATTAAATAATGATGGAATAGTACCAAGGAATGTTAGAAGAGATAATATAGATTTCTTTGAGAAAGATCTTTATTTAATATTTGATTTTATCGTCAAGTCTACATAGTGTACAAAATCAATTTAGATATGGGGAAATTAATAAAGACGTATGAAAATGATTTTTGCATGTTTAATAACATTCATAAGATTGGCTTTTTGACAAAATAATATTTGTGTTATATCCCACAATCTTAATCTTGCTCTAGTGGGTACGGTGCTCAAGGACCTACGCAATGGATCGACGACTATGAGATTGGGAGCTATAAATAAATAATCTATGTCACTTCACTTTTACATAAATAAAATAATAAATTAATAATAAGATAGTGGACAACATGAGTATCGGTACATGGTAAATCATATATCTAAATTGAAAATGGCAATTAAACATATAAAAGTTTGTTTGTTGATTAATTATTCACTTCGAATTTAAATCTATACCTAGTTCTATAAGTTTGTAAGTGCATATGTAGATTTAGTAATGATAACACTTGTCCATACTTTCTTTTGTCTATGCACACACGTATAAAATTTTGTAAATAGAATTTAAAGGATTTTTATATTTATTTAATAATTTAAATTTATTGTTACACCTTTAAATGCTATTTTTTTTCATTAATTTTTTTACTCAAACTTGGGTTTATTGTAGATATATAATTAAAGATTTATTTCAATTACTAGAATTGATTTAATAGTAAATTAAGATAATATATAATAGATTTTAAGTTCAAATCTTATTGTTATCATGTACTTTCTATAAATAAAAAATAATATTATTAAATTTTTGTTTAATAAACTTTTTTCATATAGAAGAGAAAATAAGAAAATAAAATGAAATGAATTTCTCTTTATCTTAAGTAAGATTCATGTTTAACTCAAGCTGATAAAATTAAATTATAAAATAAGGATTGTTCTCGCTCATATACTTTATTCAAAACATATTACTAGAACTTTCAATATATTTTTTCATATTGATGATTAGATATTTCAAACATGAAAGATTGAACATATGCAAATCGTCTGATAATGACCAAATATCGATTGAATTAATAAGTCTAACAACAATTATTGGGATATACCCTTATACTATTTAATTTTAAAAAAGTCAATTTTGGACTAAATTCACACTAATTTGTAAGATAATAGTTGTTCCTACTTATATATTTTATTTTGAATTATATCATTAGACAATATAAGATCTCTAGAATTAACTTATGCATTTTATCTTCTATAGAAGTTAATTTTTTTTTATATAAAAATGAAATATATAAATTTATTTTAATTTATGAAAAGTTTAATTCATTTTTTTATAAGTATTTATGAAAAATTTATTTAAATATGACCTAAGTACACTTTTGTGTGTGTCAAACTAAAATTACTTTTACACTTTTAATGTGTATATTTATCTCTTTATATAAAAGTAGAAAATAATATATAAAGATAAAACGAATTAATCTTAACCGTTAAAACTTTTTACTTTTTATTTTGTATATATAGAACACCATTTTTGTAAAATAACATTATTTGTTTGCAAAATTTTATTTTTATCCATTGCTCTTGTTTATCTCCAAGCATAGTTTAATTTTATAAAATTAATGTAAATAATTAAACAGTGAAGAAAATAGTTTCTATTGACAATAGTTTCGAATGAGAGGGAGTGAGCTAAATGGAAAAGAAAAGTTACACAATCTTTTCAAAAAGGAAGCCGTAGGTTTCTTGTAAGTTAGGGAAGGCACATATATTAGAATTAATCCACTTTTTTTTCTTTTTTCTTTTTTTCTAAAGAAAGGCCAATTTTATTTTTGTCTTGTTCTTTTCATCTTTTAGTGCATTAAGGATCAATTTATACCAATCTTTAAAAGCCTTTTGACACTTTGCTAGTAATACTTGGGTCACTTAAGTTTGCTTATAACTTTTCTTTTTCCTACTTTCTTTGAAGGAAAAGAAACAAGAAAAAGAAGAAAAAAAAGAATTATTTATTTTTATGCTTTTACATATTTATAACTAATTTTTTTTTTTAAAAAAGGGATGTTTTATTCTGCTCGTCCAGCACATCTGCAGCTAGCATCATATATACAAGCAGAAGAAACTGTTTTCTCGAAAATTTAAGAATTAAGAATTATATGATATGTGTTGAAGACAAACCTCCTTATAAACACTTTTAAGAGAGATAAATATGATGAAACTATAAATTATTTTTTTGATTATAAGTTAATTGGCAAAAATTGTCTTATATTAACTTTCTAGGAAAAAAATATTTTAAACTTTTGTATATATATGTTAATTTTATCTTGTAGAAAATTCATTTAATTTTTATTTTTATGTTTTTCTCCTGAAAATATTTACATACGTGGTTGTTTATCTTAACAAACCCTACATGAAATTTATCTTTTTGGAGGGTTAGTTTAAAAGAAAAAATGGGGGAAAATTATTTATATATATAAACAATTTCTTAAAATATTATTATTATATATACGGCTATATACTTAATATATTCAGCTGAATGAGAACTGTGATTGGAAAATTAAAAAAAATAAATCATGGTTGATATTTTTAGCAAAACTCATGGAAAAAGCTCTTTGAGTGCACTCAAAAAGTTAAATCACACAGAATAATTCATAATTG